ATTCCCTCACTGAAAATGTTGGTATAGTTGTAGATGTTCAATCCACATGTTTAAACAGTTGGAAAAGTGTTGTCTTGATCTTGTGAAATCAGACATAATAGGAGAACTGTTGCTTCTTTTTTTTTTGAACCAGTTGGCCAGCTACAACATCATGCTTTATTAAAGTGGACTAGAAACAGGATATTTTGGAATCATAAACATCGTAGCAAAATCCTAAATATGCCCCAGTGAGCGACCTCACAAAAAGTTGGCTTTTGCTTTTTGATGCTCTTCATGAGACAACCTAGGCTCAAACCCGTAGCCTCAAGATCACAAGATCTGACCACAAAACAACAAAACAAATCCTTTGTCCCCTTCTGGTAATAATGTGAAATGCATGGTTAATTTGGCTTCATTTCTCAAATTGAAGAGCTCTTTACTTAATACAGTCTATTTGTTCACAGTAAGCTGAAAAAGTCATTATAAGTGCATTGTGTAACTGGTCAATGAACCACATTTGAGTGAGAGTTAATGTTGCACAGAAAATGCGGTGTTTGGGAGTTAGTGCAGCTCAGGGGCACTAAAAGTAACCTGTAACACCCCCTTAATGATGAACAATGATAAAACCACCAAAAGGAAAACATGTTCTTGGATTTTTCCTCTCTTGTCCACATTTTTATTTATAAAACACATCTGTTCAGAAAGAAACCTTTGTCCATCAATGGACATTCAGTTCTGTATTTTTTTTTATTCTGGCATAAAGAGGTGTAATGACAACTGTTTTAATGCAGGGAATCAGGAAGGCTTGCCTGCACTAATATTGCACCTCTGAATGGGAGTGGATCAATGAGTTTGGTAGTTCACAGATGATAGATCGGCACGGGTTGACAAAAAGCCGTGGTTAGGCGAGTGTGTCAGTTTATGCGCACACAAATACCTCTTCAACTTTCCTGGCAGATTTAGCTGCACTGGGGTGGTGCCTGGGGGAAAGTACATCTTTGCTTAATGTCTTCCCTCGATGGAGCAGGAAGATAGTTTGTTTTACTCCTGTCATGGCTTGCTGGGGCATTGCTCGATGTTGAGATGCCCTAACACATAGCGATAATAATACACTGATGGTTATGGTAATAAAGCACCTTTGTCATAGCACTCAGGCACAGGAGAGTAGAATGGATTAGCTTGAGTATTATTTTTCCCCCCTTTTTTGGCCATGTTTCACCGCTGCTCTGCACTAAGCTAAGCTCATCGCACATTCTGCAAAGCACATATGGTCTTGCATTAAATATTTGGAGGTAAATCCTGAGTTATGAAGCGGCAAGAGCAGCACTTGGAGGCCCAGTGCAGCAAAACAACTTAATGTCAGTCACTAATCTGGTTGCAGGTGTTCAGAGGAGCAGAGCTCAATTAAACCAAATTGGCTTCCACGCAGTTATTTAAATTAGTTTAGAATCAAACCCTCATAAACTAAATATGCTTACCTTGGCAGAAACCCCCCCCCCCCACCCCATTTTACTTCAGCTTCCCTCCTCACTTACCAAGACACTGTCAAGATGGGAGGAGCTGAAATAAAAATGAATTTACATTTAAATCAACCTGGAAATTGAGCAAAAAAAAAATAAATGTGATCAGGGTCTTTACTTTCCCCACTGCCTTAATCAAAGTTTTGATGTGATGACACACACCCTAAGAGTAGGAACCTGGTTAATATCTCTAGAGAGGTCCAAGGTAATATGACATTAATTCACTACGCACACTGCAATTAAGCATCAATTAAAACTGCTGGCTATGTCTCATACAAACTTTAAAACTTGTCAACACTTTTAAACTGTGTCCCATAGTTGGATCACAGAAGATCATATAGTGGTTTTGACATTTTGAAAAAAAAAAAGAAGAAGAAAATAAATCTATAAAAATCCATAATTCTCGTGTGGATCTCTGTTGCAAATTAAACGTTCAAAGTAAATCATGTCATAAATCCTGCATTTGAATTAGTTTTTGTAATGCTGATGTCAATCTTCTTTAATGAAACTTTGTAAAATTACCATAGTGCGATGGCAAGTTGACAATATGCGGATAAATCTGACAACCTCATAGAGAAATGTCAAACTCACTTCTCTTTTTATGTTTTTGTTTATTTGTTTTAACCTCCACTTTTGTTTTATCGCCCATTCACCCTTTATCTTGTACTTTTTTTCCTTTTGATATTGATTTTTTTTCTCCCATTGTCTGCTTGAATATCTCTCTCTACATCACATTCACTGGTCCAGTGAAGAGGAAGATCGGTCAAAATAGTCTATTCACATCATATCAAATCTGGCTTATTTTCTTTCTATATCGCATCTCTCCGGCTATGGTCTTTCTTATAACAGCAGAGTCTCCAGTGGCCCGAAAACAGATCAGTCAATCAGTCTGTACTAGGTCCCCTGACCTTCCAATCTCACTATTTTCCCCTTGATTTTATCTCTGTCTCTGTCTCTTGAATGCCTGTGTGACTTTTAGTTTCTGCTTAGTGTTCTGTCTGTCTCTTTGTGCAGTTTACCCTGTCTCTCCAGTCCAGTTGATAAGAAACAGTCAAACCTGGTGGGGAATGAACAGCATGTTAACAGAGGCCGGAACACCTGCAAGAACAATGACCACACAGGGACAGGAGGCAAGTTGTACCTAAATGAGTTTGATACTGTTGCTTATAAAGAAAAAAAGCCCCCCAAAAGCTTCACTATAAGAAACAAACTCCTGAGGTTGCAGACAAATGTGGAGAAAATTGCAGCAAGTGGGAGTGTTGAGATTTTTAATGAAATTGTGTTTGATGTCCTTCCTTTCATCAAAACTTGTGCTGAGTAAACTATTTTTTCCAGAATGGAGGCAGCTTCATAAAAAAAAGATTTTGAGGTATCCTCGGACCTTTTTTGAAAAACATTAAACTTCAAAGTGCATATCTTGAAAAAGTGTATTTTATCTAAAATCATAGGAAGTGAAGATTTTTAAAAAGCGGCATTTAGTCTGGCACTTTAAAGCAAATGTTTGGCTAATACCCTCAATTTGTAGGATGTGTCCCATAATTTCTATGCAGCAGCAAGCTGTAATTATGCTGTGCAGTAGCCAAGTTAAAAGACAACTTCTCTGGAGGACAACCATGTAAACAACCTCTCATTTATAATTTAACACAGAAACATAGTTCAGAGCATGAGGAAGCTTGAAGGTATTGCATGATACCAAAGGCTAATGTTTTTTGTAAGTTTGCTTTAGATCTTTTGGCCAAAATAGCAAGGATGCTGTAGGCTCCAGTTGAGTAGGACATTGCATCACACAGTTTCACAGAAAAAAAATGGAGTGCAACCTACTGTGCTGATGGAAATCCTCTGAGGGAAACTTAACAAGCAATTTTCTGATAATGCGAAACCATTAAGCTTAGCCATCATTATATTAACAATTGTCTAGATATGAGCTGTTGCCCCCTTTTTTTTTAGAAAAATTTTATCACTAAGCATTTTACTTTTGGTATTTTTGTGAAAAGTAGTTAAATTGACAAAATAAATGCAACTAGAGATATAGTTCAAATATAATTGTGCTATATTCATAAAAAGTCACGGTAATTCATTTGAAATAAGAACCAAAACTAATTTGGAAAAAAAGACTAAAATTAGTATCTGCAATGTATTCGAGCAGCATATAAATGCTCATTCAGCTTTCTTTTAGATTGTACCTAATTTGGTTGATTTTGTAGCACTGAAAGTATGTTTTTGAGCCCTTTAAATTCTTAATTTAAACTATAAATACATAATATAAACTATAAATGCATAATATAAACTATAAATGCATAATATAAATACATATAGAAATAGATCTTTGTATATGTACCTACAAGTGACCTTGAAAATTGTACATTTGAATCCCAGTGGCTGGTGAATTGTCAGACAAAACAGTTTTTTAATCATTTGCTAATATTTAGTGCATAGTGTAATTCAATTTGAGATTTTTTAAAACTAATTTTACTTTCATATTGTATTAAACAGTTCAACCAGTCACATCATGACTGTAACCAAAAATAGATAAAACCATTTTGAATCAGGTTACCATCCACAATCTAAAAATACACAGCAACCACAACTTATTTTTTATGGTAGATTATCTAAATTAGGTTATTTCTCTTCCAGACATGTTTTCTGTGCAGCTTGGCATGCTTCTTACAGTCTTTTCATTCACATACTAAACATTGTAAATGCAAAGTTTTATTCCTGAAACTACATTTTCATGAAAGCATTTGTATCAGAAGGAACCTGGAAGTTTTTTTTAAACATTGTGAAGGGTGTAAATATTATCTTTTCTATTTTAACTAAACATTGTTTGCAGGTTTTTTCACTTCACAAAAGATGGACAGTATCAAACCATACATTATACATTGGGTTTGGGGCAACTAGTTTTATTGCAAAAGCACACGAGTGGAATCTCTGACAGCAGCATATTTTAAGGCCACTTGACATGATAGATGAGTCAGTCCACCTGGTAGGATATTACCCTTTTTTTCTCCAGCGTCGCCTTTCATCAGCTCTCCCTACACTTGGTGCTTGAGTACTATAAATACTGAAAGAGTGGCCAGCTTTAAAAGTTTGCTAAATTTAACACTTCCCTGACAGAACATTTTTGTTGCCCCTTCCTTTCCCGACTGCAAAGTTTGCATTGGAGCTTGGTTTGCGACAGGGACACATTCATCATATAATAAAGTGATGCAAGCTGTTACAACACACCAAAATGAAACTCGGCGACTGGTTCTCTTGTATAGTGAAGAGAAATGGAAGCTATTCCAGGCTTGTTTCTTGGGTTTCATTGCCAATGATGCTCTATTACAGACTCAAATGCTTTAACTCATGTTGGTTTTAGTTTAAGGTGATGCTTATAGAGAACACAAGAGAATTAAAAGTATTTCTTTTGTATGCATACTAAATTACAGTTTCTAAATTGCTATGAAAACATTGCTTTTCTGACATATGTTAGGATATGTTTGAGGAATAAATATAAGAAACTGCTTTTAACACTTTATTATTTCAAATGCACAAACAAGGCTGATTAATGTATAAACACAGTGTTTAATTACAGTGCTTTACTGCCACCTATTGTTGGGGCACAAGACATTTGTTATTGACAACATTCCTGAACAAATCAGTAACTCAAATACTGCAATCTACCATTCATTTCATGTTTATCATCATAAATGTATCCCAGTAAAACAAACAAAAAATAAAAAAAACAACAAAAAACACTTTTTTAAATTCAGAACTAATGCTTTAGGAACATAAAATGGTATAAATGTTCAATTTATCTGATGTATGACTGTAAATTTAATTCACAACAGGTAAATGAAAAGAGTCAGTAAATCCAACATACAATTTCAAAAGTAGATTTCATCTGAAAAATGTGGGCACACACATTTTAAACATAACGTTGAACAATGTTTCTCACAGAATACTTGAAGAGGATATAAGTTGAACATGAATTAAAATGTTTGTGAAATGTATTTACAGTATAACGATCTGCTCACTGGTTTTTGCATTCAAGAGCCACAGCAATAAACGGCTTCGCCAAGATGTTTTTAGAGGTGAAGGGGATCAAAGTTTAAAAGATTATTTGCTTCAGACCAAGCAGGATGCCGTGCCCCATCCATTTCTGTGGCAACCTGGTTGCCACTGTCCAGCATGTGGTTTTGTCCGCCAATGGAAGCATTGCAATCTGGGCACTTTCGCCTTTCCATAGCCCCTCCACAGTCGGTAATAAGATAGACATGACCATTAGGACATTTGTGCCAGTGTCCTGGAGGCATTTTCATTGCTGAGACAATCATCTTTCTCTCCTCGTCACTAATCCCCAAACCTGTGAGTGGAAACTTTTCATTCAGTTTCTTCATAGCATCTTTCACATTCAGTTGATCTTGCTCTGTGAACTGACCAGGTGTCTCCAAAGCATGTCTGATTTCTTGCACTTCAATTTGCATTTTGTCAGTTTGTTTCATCTTGTCTGCCTTGTTGCAACGAACATTAAGTTCAGCCAGAAGGCTGAGTCTTTGCAACTCTCTATGCAAATCAAAGACTTGTTGGTCTGTGAATTTTTGGTTTTTGCTATTGAGCCAACCAATGAACATGGTGACTTTCTGCCGAAACCTGTAGCCATCACTGAATAACATGTTTTCCTCTTGAGATTTTAGAAGTTTTGATACTCTTGTCAGGAAATCGATCTTGTTTTCCAGGATCCAGAGGTCATTGACTGTGATGTATTTTTTCTCTAGTTTTTCTTGGATTTCCATGTACTCCTTTTCCACATGGTTTAAACAAAGGGGAAGATTTGTTGACCACTGATTTTGAAGGGCACTCCTCAGTTCTTCAATATCGGGTTGTCCTTCGTTTATCTTCTTCTTTACCATCTCTATCTCAGCCAGACTGCGGTTAATGTGTGATCCATATCGTAGATTCTTGCGTATTGGAGTTTTACACCTTGGACATTCCTTTAGTTTTATTGCCACCTGCTCTCCCTGGCTGCCGTCATCCAAGCTCATGTAGTGATCCATGGCTGTGAATTCAATGATGTGTCTACAGTCATCTAGTTGAATAAAGTGAGCATCAGGTTCATCTTCAGTGCCAAAGAAAATCTCTGTCACCTCATCAGGGTTGCAAACACGACATTTGCTTGGGCATTTGTCTCCACAAAGACCAATGCATGGGTGGCCACACTCCAGGGTCTTTTTGCAAGGTTCAGTGCATGGGGGACGATCACATGGCTCATGGCAAAGCTTACTGCAACTCTGATGAGGGCACTGCCAGGCACATGGCTCAATACAAGGGGCACATGGTTGCCCACATGGCTTCATACATTTACTGTGGATGCAGCAGTTTTCACAAGGCCTCTGACACGGTGGACAATCACGAGTACAAGGTTCCATACACTTGTGAGAGCAAATTAGAAGACGCTCACATCGGTGGGAGCAGGGGCTGTGAAAGCGTCCCTGGTAACACTTTCCACATGTACCAGGACAGGTATGGCCACATTTTAACTGGTGCGTACATTTGGTTTTGCATTCAGGTTGCTCTGTCTTTGTTTTGTAATGGCAAGCGCCTTTCTGTTTGTGTCCGCACTTAAGTTTTAGGTTGACCTTCACATTGCACTCTTTGGTGCATGAGGTTCCACAGAATGACTCACATGGATGTCCACATTGGAGTGTCTTCTGGCAAGGCTCCTGGCATGTAAAAGTTTCTGGGTTTTGGTGGCAAGGAACCATTTGTTTGTGTTGACAGTGAGGTATGATTTTCTCGATCTTCACTTCACATTTCTTTGGACATTCTTGATGGCACAGTCGGTTGCACCTGTGTCCCTGATCACATAAAGTCTTCTCACACTTCTTGCTACACTTAAACTCTTTGTGTTCTGGGTCATAGGGGTGACAAACTCTTGGGCAAACATGACCACAATCCAGACGAAACTGGCAAGGCTGGATGCAGCCACCCTCAGGTGCCTGCTCGAAATCCTTAGCACATTTAACCTCAACCTGTCGAGTTGGGTGATTCTGACAGCACAGGGTCAGAGCTTCCCCAATCTGGTTTTCCTCTCTCAAGGTGTGGAAAATGTTGCTCCACAGTTTAACTCCACTCAGGATTGTACCATTGCCGATACAGTACAGGCCTTTCCTGGCACGTGACAAAGCTACACAGACACGATTAGGGATGCTCAAAAAGCCAACTTTACCGTGTGAGTTACTACGTACAAGAGACAACAAAACAATGTCATTCTCTTCTCCCTGATATTTGTCCACCACGTGTACTTTGACCCCTGCAAACTCTTTGGCAGGCATTAGCTTGCGTAGACAGAGGAGCTGGCCAGTGTATGTTGTGAGTATAGTAATTTGTTCTGGTTTATATTCTTGGTGGAGCAGATACTGACAAAGTGCTACAACAAACTTTGCCTCGTGAGTGTTCTGGTGGCTCTTTCCATCCTTTATCTCTTCTTCTAGGTGGTTGTGTTCCACAAAGAATACATTTGTGTTAAGACCCTGTAGGGTTAAACATACACACAAAAAAATGTTGGATGTTATGGTTTTATTGTGCTTTTGTTTAACTCAATATTCATAAAACATTGCTATAGCTTAAAAGAAATAAAACTCAAGAGTACCTTTATGTTTTCATACTCCAACACAGAGGGATGGTTCTCCAGCTCAGAGTAGATGTGTGGGGTCAAAAGACGGGCAATTTCAGGCCTCATACGATGCTAAAGCAAAAATACAAAATACAGATGAACATGCAAACTCAATATCCTAACATTAATTTCTGCACATTTTGTCATTAGCTATACAATGAAGCTGATTAATAAATTAAATAAAACAAACCTGGTAGTTAAGTCTCACATAAGGCAGTCCCATGTTCACCAGCCTCTCAAACATGGACAATTCCAAGTGGAAGTTCTTAGCAAGATCAAATACGGTAGCGCTTGGCTTCAGCTAAAGAATAAAAGAGAAATCACACATTCTGATTTGCTCTCACACTATTTTGTGTGTGTGTGTGTGTGTGTGTGTGTGTGTGTGTGTGTGGACGGGTTTTTCCTACAACATGGGGTATTTTTTTTTACAAAAAAAAGGCAGCCAGGTGGGGACCGAAGTGAATCGTGGGGACCAATGTCAGGTCCCCACGGGTCCAAATGCAWGTTACAGGTGTGGGGTTAGGTTTAGGACCAAGGTTTAGGTTAGTTTTAGGGTCAGGTAAGTTTCTGTGAGGTTAATTTTAGAGTAGATGGTCAGGGTTATGATATAAAGTCTAAAAAACATGAATGGAAGTCAATGAAAGGTCCCCACGGGGTCGAGAAACAAACATGTGTGTGTGTGTGTGTACACACCAAAAAAGGTTTTAGAAAAATCTAATTTTTCCTGTTTTCTTAATTTCAAATTCAAGCAGCTCAAGTCCAATGAGCAGCTTGAAATAGTACAAAAAGAAGTGCTGAACTGCCAGATGTTTAAAAAGAATGTAAGGTTACCCAACACTGAAAGTCAAGGTGTCTGTGAGACCAGTTTTCTTCATCATCACAAACTCTGACGGGAAGAGGTGTGGAAATCTGACATCCACAACAGCATCAGATAACAAGTTTCTGAGAGTCCACAGCATGTGTGATAGGCAGCTCACATGCCCTCAGCTTCAAGCACAGCTTAATAATGGTTGTAGAAGACAAGTTTGTTTTAACTGTGTGAAGAGAAGACTTGGAGCTGCAGGGTGACAGGATGAGTCGCAGCAAGAAAAACATCTGTAAGACCTCAGAATGATAAAAAGAAGATTGCATTGACTATGAAACACCACCAGTGGCTCAGTGACAGAGTGACAACTGTTAAACACGGGGGAAGAAGTATGATAATCTGGGGTTGTCTTACTGGATCCGGGGTTGGGTCTGCCACACCTCTTCCTGTCATAGTTTCCACCAGTTTGAGTGCATTGTGATGGTGAAAGAAACTATATTCTCAGACACCTTGACATGAGCTGCTTGAATACCAAATTATAAGACTGGGAAAAGGGTGTTCTAAAAGTTTTGACCTGGAGTATGTGTGTATAAAACATATAAAGTACTGTACTTATTTGTTATTTATTCATCTGTTAAACCCAGCCAAACCAATTTTGCTTGAAGACAGAGTGTGACTGAGCAAATATTGTATGTGGGAGGGGTGCGGAGGAGGCAAGACAAAATTTTCGTAAAAAATGTGAGGCATTGTGTTCTCCTCAATTCAACACCAAACCTGCGATTAATGAATAGCACAAGAATGCCAAAGCTTATTTTACTTGGAAAGTGTGATCCATCCACTTTTATTACATGGATGGATTCCAGTTTGTTTCTCACAAAAAGCAGGGCTCAGAGTACTTCCTTACTGAGTTGAAGTAAATAATGCTTTAAACCTTTGACAAAAAGGCATCCAAAATACTTATTTTTTATTTTATTTTGTTTGAACCTACCAACTCTTTCTAACTTTATACTAATAATTCTGACCTATTTTAAAATTCAGTAATTTGTTCACAAATTAGTTTCTTGTAACCAACAGAAGCTGCAATTATTAAACAAACCTGTAAATATTCAACAAACGCGAAGGACAAAAAGTATATATCAAAAACACTTGCTGTCAAACCTGGTTTGAAGCAGTTTTCTTTTTGTTTGTTTTTCAAACATCTATTTTCTTCCTTACTAAATTCTAACAGAATGTTAGGAATTAGGGTTGGCCAATATTCGTACATGAACAAATCCATGAATAATCAGGGTAAAATATGCAAATATTAGTTTACAGCAGGCAGAAGTTACACAGCAAGACGAAAGCAGGACAGAATATTTAGACGTGATAGAACTGTGTGTAGTTGTGATCACATGCCACAGATTGCTAGACAGGCTGCCTGCCCATATGTGCCTGGCAGGCCCTGACAAGTTGTTGTATAATAGTTTACTGATGTCCAGAATATCACTCCTCGCTAATCTCCTGTGTCTTGTAATGACTAGTTTGCCTTTTTTTCCCCCTTTCGTTTTTAACAGTTATGTTACTTTTTTTGTTTTGTTTTTTTGCTATTTTCTAAGGGGAATACAGAAAACAATATGGGGATGAGGGAGCTTAAAACATGCCATTCGTGTAAATTTCACGTGGGAGAAATTCCATCAGGTTATATTGATTTGTGACTCAGGTATAAACTGCTTAGGGTTCAAGAAATTTCCCAATTTATACAGATGAGTGCTCACTTGTTGGTGGTCTCCAATGAGGATGAGGTGTTGGCAGGCTTCACTCAGCGTGGTGATAATGTGGGCTTCAAGAACCTCTGCAGCCTCTTCTACAATCACCACACGTGGACGTAGTTCTTGTAGAGCTCTGCGGAATTTGGCCGCTCCTGTTGTTGTCATGCCAATGACCTGGACAAAATATGTTTTATTATTTCTATACACTCAGCAACATACTATATTTAAGGATCACAAAACAAATCAAAAGAGAGTGCATATGGCAAAAAAGACATATTGGATTTCCTTGCTATAATGTACATCTTCACAAAATTATTTTTTTTTCTAAAACATTATTACAGCTAATTAAACGGCACATTTTTTTTTAGTACCGTAGCTTTCTTGAGAACATGAAGGTTTTCTTTCCTTTTAACATCAGCCAGTCTGTCCACTGCATTTTGATAGGCCCGTTCTGAATCCAGGGCTTTTGTACGAAGCTCTATCCTGTAGCGTGTCACCCACAACCTGCAGACAAAAGGAAATTAAAGAAAAACACTGTGATGCAGAATAAAAACTGCAGAATAAAATGAAAGATGATATTAGAAATATCTCTTCACCCACATTACAGTACATTCTCCAATACACTCAAACTGATCCTAAATAAATAAATAAATAAATAAATAAATAAATAAATAAATAAATAAAAATGTGGCCTAGAACACTCCAGATATTTTAAAAAACACAAAGCTATAACAATGAGACTCAAATCAAACTAAGAGTGAACAAAAGCTAATATTGGATTATGTCTACCTATCTTTCATTTTAATTAGTGGGCGGCAAATGCTTGCAAACTAACCAAGTGGATCTTAGAAAATATGAAAATTTAAGGTCCACAGGATAAATTGAAACTAGACTTAGGTCAGAGTGGCTCCTTTAAAAAAAACGATTAAAAAATTCACCCAATTTTAAATTTTAATTTAGTTGTTTGAACATTTAACAGCATGTTAATCCAAGTCAGAAATATTTTATTCATTATCCCACCATAGATTTGGTTGTGAAAATGCCTGATATTGTGTTAAAACCCCTTGAGAGATTTCCCCCTTTTTTAATTTTATTAGCTAGATTCACAACTTGACTAATACATATACTAATGTTTAACATGTACTGTATATACGTACTAATATCTGCTTTTGCTAGACTGCTGAGAACAAAAATATGAACATGTAACAACATGAGGATGAAAAAAGAAACACTGTAAAAAAGGCATGCACTACAGATGAGGTTATACTGCACAGTAATTAAACTATTACAAAAACGTCAGAGTGCATGTCTTTGAAGAAAATTGAGAAACTTGTTAGTTTTAATAATCATTTTTGACCCCACAGTCTTGTTTTCACAGTAACAGAAGTTTGGAGCTACATCTTGGCTCTGTAGTGATAAGATCCTCTGGGATACATTTTGCTGACTAGCTGACTTAATTATACACACTGGGAATACACTACAGCTACCAGGCCGAGGTTGGTTAGGGAATAAAAATATAAGAAAGCAGAATAATGTAAGACTGTCAAATGAAGGATGGCTAGAACTTTGTGAAAACTTCTAGGACAAGTTATAGAAGTGAACAATTGAAAAAAGGTGGTAAATCATGAGCAAAGAAAAGAAATTACACAACCAAACTTACCGGTAGAGTCTCCATCTGTCCTCCAGAGGAAGAGTCCACACATCGAAAATGTTATACTCTTCATCTTCAGTCATAGCAGTGCTCTTCCCCAATTCTCTCCTAATTTTGTTCTTTATCTTTTTCCTCTGGTCCCGCTGAATCTGTGTTGGTAGGAACAAGACAAACTTTAGTCTTCAGGGCTTCAGTTCCATCAAGTAAAAGCTTAGCTTGTTGTATTGGCTGGTTTGTTATTCTCCAATTTAAAAATAATGATATTGATGTGCAGTCCATATCACACACTATGGGCAAAGAGTACAGTTTAAAGTGACGGAAGTACACAGAGATAGCTCATTTACTGACAGAAACTTATTTGAAGTATTTGGACCAACAATGGTGGTGAAGTGCATCATGCTCCAACCGTGCTTTTCAATTAGAAAACACAGTTAACTCCTGTGTTTAACTCATAAAAAAATTTAATTTAAGTTTACTGATTGCATTTAGTGCTCAAAACATTATTAGTACTAGACTGCGCTGTCAAAATGGCCCCTGGAGTGGTTGGTAACTGCTGGCAGTATGTGGGCCCACAAGAGAATGTGTGTGTGTGCAAAGCAAGTGACGGGGTTTACATTTTTCTTAATTGCTTTAAGCATTACCACTGGGTGACATTTGGTAGCAGTAACATGCCAATTAAAAAAGTGCATCAACAAGACAAAAACAAACAGTGCCACAAAGCAGATATGAATAGCATTATAATTATTACTAAAATGTTACGGTAATGTAACTTTTCACAAGTCAACATCTTATTGTTACCTCCCATCCGTCTTGACTGTTCTCAGCCTGCACGTCAACATTGTCCAGGTTCATGGCCAGCAACAGATCTTCCACTTCTCTGACAGACTCCTTGTTTCCTTTCTTTTTGTCGTTTTTGCCACCTCTGGGACCAATTGTCCATTCGTCTTCAATCATCCGCTCTGCCTGAATCAGTTCTGCTTCCTCTGCAATTTCAATGAGGTCTTCGTCCACCTCCATTACTTGCTCTACCGTAGGAAACACATTGAGGTAAGAACCACCATAAAAATGGTCTCACTGTATACACATAAAAGCTTTATTATACTGACAACCTACACTGTTGAGTGAGGGATAAAACATAAGAAAAGGAACGGTCAAAGGGACGAAAAGATTTCAGACAATGTTGTCCTTATTTAAAGTGTAAGTACAGTGCACATACTTATGAACTGTACATCTCATGGTTTACAATCTTTCAAAACAGGAAAGGTCTACTTGTCCTTGTTCCTGGTTTTTTTGCTGTAACAGACCATAATCTTGCTAAAGCTATTAAAAGTTTAGTTTTTTATTATCTCCTTAATGTTCTGAAACCTGTAAGCGTTTAATTTAGCAGATCATAAAACCAATTATTAAACAATTTTCATTGTTTCACAGGAGCTTCATGAACACTAAAAACGCCTACCTTCATTTAAATTTGCATTCTCTGTCTCCCTCTGCTGGAAGTCGGTCAATCCCAAACCCAGCCACTCCATCATCAAACTGGTCTTCTTTTTCCAGAACCCAAACTCATCAACATTCTACAAGCCAAAACAAATGTATAAGCTAGCACTGTGGTCTTAAGTTGTGCATAAAACTTGTTTATTATTTTTTTACATTACTCACAGGGGTTGATGTTAGACTTTCCCAGTGTATTTCTGAAATAAACCTCTGTAGAAAGTTTTCGCGCATCACACCTTTCAGAGAGCACTCCAGCTTCAAACTCTGGTTTTCGATTTCCCTTTCCTCCTCACATAGCTCCCTGTAAATCTTTAAAACAAGAAGAGGAAAATTAGACAAGAATACATGGAATAATCTGCAAAAATTAAAAACAGAGCATAGTGAAACTGGTTATGCTGATATAAGTGAGATAAGTGTCGCTTAAAGACGAGCTCACCTGACCATACGCAGTTCGAAGGTGAGACGGCAGTGTTTGTCTGAAGTAATGTGAGTGGGTCAGTTCTCGAAGATTGAATTGTTTCAGGACCTCACTGTTGCTGCGACCTCCCACTCTCACGATGCCATTCTTCAGAAACTTGTGAATACCTACATAAAACTCACAATCAAACCAAATGGCTGCACGATATGCAAAATATGCAGTAATCTTTTGAGATACATTGTCATTTGTGGGGCTCAGACCACAAGGAAAAATAACCTATTAGTAGTTTTATAGCCACCCAGTGATCACAAATATCATCCACATTTGGAATGAACACACTTGTTTTCTTGACTTAAGACTGGCACTGATGTTTTTAACCATATAAAAAAAATAGATCTGATGTCGTTTTCATGGCTTACCTTCAAGAAACTGATCCAGGGCGTGGTTGGTGTAACACACAACTAGCATTGGAGCTTCACCACCCTGATCATTCAAATCCAATTCCAGATCATCATGATCATCATCCATATAGCGCACATTAAGTGGCTCATTCCAAAGCTTTTTATTGGTCAGCAGAGCCTGAGCAATCTTTAGACCAACATAAGTTTTTCCTGAGGGCAAATAAAAGAAAACCATATAAACATTGTATTTACATACATTTTAGATTATTATTATTATTGTTTTTTTGTAATTCCACAAGTTCATAACATCCAGTTATCTTGCGCAATTGTGTCATCATAATCACCAAATTTTCAAAAATAATGGCATAGTTCTGATGAGGTGGAAAACTTTCTTTTTGCGGGGTTTATATGGGCATCTATGTTTGTACAGATTCTAGCTATTTTTTTTACACTTAAAGGTATTATTCATTGATGTGGGTAATGCTTGTTAGGTTCATACCAGTCCCAGGAGGACCCTGTATAATTGCCAGCTCCTTGGTGAGCGCTAGCTGAAAGGCTCTCATCTGAGACTCATCCAGGAACAGCTCCTCCATTTTGGGCCAGGCCTCTGGCACCAGGCTGTGAAAGGGCTTCATGCTGCTTTTGTATTCGGGGTCAGCAACAGACGACAGGTCATAGACGTCCGTTTTTCTAAGGTATGCCGGTGATCTCACATCGGTGGAACACTCCACAATGTACCTGAAAGCATGCATATCCTTCTTAATATACTTCTCCAAAAAAATAAAAATCGTTCTAAATTGAGATCTTATATCACTCATGCAAGAATAATATCTTACAGTTAGATAACCATTACATTTTTATTTTGAATTTATTCCTCCAAAAGGTACATAAACTTGCTTTGATTGGGCGCTTAAACTAAACAAATTTTGAAGAACAAGCTGGAGAACTGATCTCCGGGCACCCTGAGTGGAGCTGGGTACATTAAAAAAATTTTTAACAGAATAACATGGAGATGTTTGTCATGGAAAGAGATAAGTAGGCTGCAGTATTTTTCCCAACAGCAGTGTCACACATTAGCATCAAACATTAAAATAAAACATAAAGACTGACAAAGTAACACAAATGAACCCTGTGTCATTGATTTCATAGAAACAAACTGTCTTTGTGTAAGATGAATGATGAATATAGATATATTGTAAAATAAAACCTAAACAGATAAGAATATGCATGCAGTAAACAGCCTCTATGTCACAAAGAAACTTTATTACCTCTGAAAAGGCAAGTTTCTTTCATTTATCTCCTTTAAGCCTTCAAGAACGTATCGATAAGCTTCAAAGTAGGCAGTGGTCTCAACCATCAGAAACACCTGATCTGTCTGTTGATCAAAACATAAATAAATCAGAAAGCTTCCACATCAGTTATTTAAATGTTACACATCACTTTGTAGATAAAGTTAAACATTTTGAAGCTATTCTTTCATCCATAACATCTTTATCTGTGATTATACTATATTAGGCAGGGTTGTAAAGTAACTAACTACAAATACTTTGTTACTGTACTTAAGTAGAAATTTTGGGTATCTGTACTTTACTTGAGTAATTATTTTTCAGACTACTTTTTAATTCTACTTCTTACATTTTCACACAGTTATCTGTACTTTCTACTCCTTACATTTTTAAAAAAAGGCAAGAAGTAGATAGTTGTTACTATTATTTCATTTTTGCTTGTTTTCATTCTAGCTTGTTATTGTAAAACAAAAATACTATCCATATAAATTGTGCCTCCTAGATAAGAGTGAATTTAGTTGTGGTTGAATGAGAACTATATATATAAAATTCTGATACCGTATTAGTTTGTACACAAACAAATCATGTCACACTCCAGCAGGACAAAATCATTAAAATAAAAGGACTGTACTTAAGAAGTATTTGTATTTCATGAATTATATTATTGCATTTGGCTGCAGCCCTCAGATAGATTTTCATTTTAGGGAAAAGTTTTGTGCAGCCTTGATATATGTATATAAACTGAAACAGCTAAACTAGTGCATCCTAAAGTTAACATAAATTAATTATTTTAATACGATATAGTAATTTCTGCATTTTTGGGGAGGTCACCTCCTAATAAATGTCATTACAGAAAATGCCAATTTTAAATAAATACTTTTACTTTTAATTCTTAAGTACAAAAAAATATCAGATACTTTAAGACTTTTACAGGTACTTTATACAACACTGATATTGGGATAATTCCCGATTACTTAACCTAGGTGTGCCTAACCACCTGGTGACTCACTGAATGTTTCTGTAATAGTATTTGACTCAGCATCATTCTGCTGTCAAAAATCACCTGGATTCTGGCCAGCTTATATCTGCTTTCCTCTGTAAAACTAATCTGGACCAGCCCTTTCTCCAGTAGTTTAGGGTCTCGATCGGAAACTGTGGCGAACAGGAAACTCTCAAAATTATCGTATGACAAGCAGACCAAAGAACCAAAGAGCAGCCTTTTGGAGTTCTGCCAGCGCACAAACTGAAGAAACAAAAGAAAAAAACAAACAAACAAAAAAGATTAACAAACAGATATGTTCCTAGTTTTTGATTTTACCTAAATTAATAAACAGTGTATGTTTAACTGGACCATTTCAAATATCATGAAACATTGGACAGTGATCTATAAACACCCAAAATCATTGAAATTCTAACCTTGAGTGGCTGAACGTCAAACTGGACAAGGTACGCGAGGCCGGTCTGTGTACATTTTGGCACCACCAGCTGTGTGTCAAAATACACTCGGATGTCGTCAAAGCGCTTTGTCTTCGCTGGGTTATCGGTCCTTCCCATGTCCAGTTGGTTCTGGAGGAGCTGCTGAATTCCCTCCCGGAGCGGTCGAACAAAGTCCTCTCTGAGCAACCGGTAGTGTGTATCGAGGTAGATGTGGGTGTTTGTGTAACGCTGCGATGTGAGATTGGCTCTGAGAAACGGCCTGTGGTTCTGGTGGAACTCCTCAGGAGTTGGGTAGAGCGGTATGCTCCTGAAATCCTGCTGATCTTCAGCTGGGTCACAAACAAGCAATTTGAAAACACTCAAATATCTTTAGACCTCTTAAAATGCTTTCCTTCTAAATGTGATGTTGACCTAGACTACCAACGTATATATATTTTATTTTATTACCTGGGTTGTCACCACCAGTGGCTAGGAGTGCATATGTGTCCCTGTCTGTGCGCAGGGTCCCCTCCCTGGATCTCTGCTGGAGATGGTCAATCAGGCCTTTTATGTTTTCCATTTTTTCCTCTGTTTGAGGATAGATGTCCACACCTGATGCCCTCAGGCTGTTGACAGAGGCTTGGAGCAGTGTCAGCAACATACTCACAGCTTTGACAGAGCTTGCAGGGAAGACATTGAGCACCTGAAAAGCGCATATTTTAACATGCAAGTCATATACGGTAGTTAAAGCTTGCAATAGTAAAATAATAATTCACATCCAATTGGATCTATTTTCACAGATGATCCTTACTGCAAACACAACTTTTGCTTTACAGAATCGTTTCTCACTTGCTAAAGACCACTTTGTGCAAAATGAACTTCAGCCTGTATCTTTTAATAAAAACCCCTCTCAAGAGCCAGCTTGCTGGGAGCTTTCCTACAGCCACAATTTATCTAACTTAAATGGCTCGTTCTTTAAAACATTCATTACCTCTGAGAGGATAGCTAGGATGTTTTCCAGATGCTGTGGGTATTGTGCTCTGCGGACAGGGTTCGACTCAGACACCATGCCTCCCACGTGGTGAAGCAGGGCAGTGCTGAAGAACACTGAATCTTTTATGATGCCGGCCAGGTGCTGCAGTGTGCCTCTGTCTGTCCTTGAAGTGAAGGCTTTGCTCAGCACCAGGCAGAGGAGCTGGATTAGGTCCGGCCTCATTGGTGCCTCACCGAGGAGCGCTTGAAGGCCAGGGTTTGAGGAGAGAGTGATGGCCACAACCGACGGCTCTTCCTTGGAGAGTTCTTCGAGTGTTTTATAACCCAGTCTACGACCATCTCTTCGCTCTCCCCCGCCATGTCTCCTGTCCCCACTGTGTCCTCCTCTCCCTGCACCTGCTCGTCCTGTCCCGGTTCGCTCGCCTTCTCGTTCAGCTCCACCTGGCTGACCATTTCTACCAAATCTCTGCCAGTCTGCACCTCCCCCTCCTCCTCCCCTCCCCCCTCCTCTCCCTCCACCTCTCTCCCCTCCTCCTCCCCCTCNCCTCCTCTCCCTCCACCTCTCTCCCCTCCTCCTCCCCCTCTATTTCCACCTCTTCCTCCTCCTCCTCTCCCTCCACCTCGTCCCCCTCCTCCTCCTCCTCCTCCTCTCGCTGCAAACCTTTGATTACTCCCTTGACTTTGTGCCCTTCTTCTGACCTCTTGTTCTCTTGCCCTGTTTCCCTGTGCACCTTCTCCTCCTCTTCCTCCACGGCCATTTTCATTTTGGCCGATATCAGTATCTGGAAGAAATATAAAAAAATCATACAATAAACACTGAAAATAAGCTCACTGAACTGTAGGTGTTTGCTGCTTCTATTCTGATCACGGTATGCTGTATACTTGCCATTGAGATGTCCTCTTCTCCCCGTTCTCAAAGTCAGCCTTTCCATTGTCTTGCATGTGGCAGCTGAAACTAAAGTTGGCAAAACAGAGAGCAATTCAGAAATTAAAAACGAGAGTGAAAGCAGATTTTTTTAAAAAAGAACATGAAGGAAAAGAAACAGAAACATATGCACATTTCTGTTTCTCGGCCCTAATAAGCTGAAAGCACAGACAACAAAATAGCAGGGTAGGACTTGTCTAAAAAGGACCATAATCAGCTCAGGCATTTTCCCTCATCTCAGAATTCACATGATATGCAAGGTTACAGGAATTCTGGACTCAGATTAGAGAAGATAATTTTACTTTATGCTCAAAGAGGAAATCGAAGGCAAATGTTCCTGCTTGTCTGGAGACAGTGGACCAGATCGGGTGTTGTGGTGCTTTTGAGTTACAGTGACCAGGGCCTTAAGATAGGAGGGAGCTTTACCATGCAGGATATTATGTATGTGATTTAGCTTCAGTAGTTTTGCTCGGAGATTAACTGGAAGCAGTTGCTCCTGATCAAACAGAGTGACCTATATGTGTACGAGGGTTGGCATTCAGGAGGTACCGGAGTATTTTATTTTGTGAAGTCACAAATAAAAAATTCCTGAGGTAGCTCAAACTGAACTTGAGTTAAAAGCCAGTGTAAAAAAGTGAGTTTTTAAGTCAGATTTAAAAGACTGAACAGACTCTACAGTACGGATCTCAAGAGGCAAGTTGTTCCAGAGTCTGGGGGCCGCCACATCAAAAGCCCGTTGCCCTCTACGTTTTAGTTTTGCCTTTGGCTGCACTAAAAACATCTGATTAGAGGATCTAAGTTCTCTGTTTCGGGTACAAAAGTGCAACAGGGCCAGTAAATACTGAGTGCCACTTGGTTTGCTGGAGAGGAGGTGCCATCACATTTAACATCCAGTGGATCTTTACCATTGAGCCTTCTTATGGATCCAAAGAGGATTGTTTCTGTCTTTCCGAGATGAAGAGATAGCTTGTTGTCTGTAAGCCATTCATGGATAGAGTGAAGCTCTGATGTTAGGCTTTGTTGAATTTTTCGAGTGTCCTTACCAGCTGCTAGGAGAGTCGAGCTGTCTGCATATAAAAGCAGCTTGCAGTTTACAGCAGCAGACATGTCGTTAACATATATAAGGAATAGCAACAATCCGAGAATGGAACCCTGTGGGACTCCGCATATCACTTTTGTTGTAGTGGATGTTACGCCTCCGATATCTACATACTGCTGTCTGTTATCTAGGTAGTTCTTGAACCAGTTTACAGTTGGTTTCTGGAGCCCCAGGGCTTCCAATTTACATATCAGAATACTGTGATCCACTGTGTCAAAGGCCTTTTGTGCGTCAAGAAGGACCATACCTGTGAGGATGCCTTTATCTTGCTCTGACTTGATAAAACCAGTGAGGTAAATTAAGCATGTGTCTGTAGAGTGAGAGGGTCTGAAACCTGACTGGAGCTCTTATAAAAGTTTGTGATCTGTGAGATATTGGTTGAGTTGCTGTTTTCTCCATCAGTTTGCTGACAACACTGAGAATTGACACGGAACGATTATTTTTACATATTTATATGTGTAAATTCCCATAAAAGTATTTGTGCACTTTTTCTGAAACTTTAAAAAAATGTCTTCTGTTTGAGTCTGTACTGAGATTCCAGCAAATGAGAAGTGTGCCCCCTGCTGGATCTTCTTCCCTCTATTTGACTGTAGGTTTCTTTTTCTAGGAAACGAATACTACGGACTTTTTTTTATGACTCAACATGTTTTGTTTCTTTACTAAACCCGCAGACACCCAAGGCTACATTGCAGCACCTAACATTGTATAACATACACAACACAGTTTAATTCTGTCATTTTCTAAACCGTTATTTGTCTGCATTGTTTGCTATTTGAACTTTAAATAGGCTACGATGACTTCTTTAGTTGTATTCAAAGGAAGTCATCTATTATATTTGCACAGCTGTGAATCAATATATTCAACTGTCTTGATTGCCATTCTATCTATCTATCTATCTATATATATATATATATATAT